CCCCCCCCCCCCCCCAAAAAAAATTTAAAAATAAAAACAATTTGGGAAAAGAAAAAGGTGATGACCAATACATCTTGGCTTTCTTTATAAAAAAATGTATAAAAACCCCATAGGTAAACTGTTATATTCCATCTTAAAACTAATTAAGAAATGTTGTCCAATAACTTCTAACACCCTTCTTCCACAGGACCACATATGCCAGTCAGAACAGGCGAACCTACCAAAATAAGCGATTTAGCTAGATGAATTATAAGTTCTATACTATGTTAGATCCTATCTTGCATCTCAAAAATCTATGCAGGCGATGTGGGACATTCTAACATAAACATCATATAATTATGGTTTAAAAGTTACCATGTCTTGCTGCTTCTTTAGCTCTTCCTATCCATGATCGAGCACTTTCAGCTGCATTATACGTCAATTCTTGTAACTGCACAGCATAACAATAAGTTATCACTTGGATCCATTTATTTTGTTACGGTGTAATGCATTCAATGCAAAGAGTCGTCAGATTAACATTAAAAAATACAGCATCCAGAAATATAAATTGAGGGCAATCAAAGTTCTCATTGTTCAATTCAAGGTTTTATATCTACATATCTTGGTCAATATAAAAAAATAAAAATACTTATTGCAGCAAAGCCAAGAATGAAACTTACACGTATCCCTAATAACATGTGACAGCATTCTTAACTTTAAAACAGTTAAATTTACCAGTCTATAACATGAGTATTATTTTCCACTCTGTATCCTAGGAAAAGCATATACCGCTTCAAGGTTTATATGCTTACGGTGATAATAAAAAATCAGTAAGCTATCCAACAAGACAGTAAGCTTACAAACACCATGCATCCCAAAATTTTAGGGAACTTACAATCTCTCTTTCTCTTGTCCCTTCTGGTGGCATAATATCCTGTATCCATTCAACTTCTGCAACACGATACCTGAATAAAACATCAAGTATAAAGCCATATTTCCATCAAAGAAAAACAGCCAGATCAACAGCAAGATAATTTTGTGAAACATAAGAGACAACTAACCCATCCTGATCCCAAGAACGAATGATGCGAAATCTCCTGCGACTTTCAATCTGCATGTAGCAATACTTTCTTACACATTGAAAGATTTTTTAAAAAATAAAGAAAAAATCAAGTCTTTTTAACAGAATCCAGGATAAAAATGAAATTTCTTTGGAGTCTCTGAAGCATCCTAGGACCAATAATACCAAAATAAAATGAGAAACACCATGACTACTGAATCTTCGAGTGAACTTGTACAACTTGCCAATTTCCAAAAAAATTCTCAAGTTCTTATTTTTACAATGTGAGAACAATGTATACATCAGCATCGTGACAAAATACATGTTATTTGCTTTGAAATGGACAGTTGTACATTTTACAATTAATAATGATCATTCTAACTAATCTCTGCTTAGTTTCAGAAAATGATTGCTGGATATGGTTTGGCCTAATTCAGCACTCACACCAGTTCGGTAATATCTCATCATTTGTATAAAACTAAGTCCTCCTAAATAAAGCTACATAAAGAAAATCCAAACAAAATGTTCAGATTACAATAAGATGGTATTGTTGAGATTGCAATAAGATTATCGAGATGTTATGAGATATAGGCTGAAATTGTGTTAGAATATTTGATTGATTTCATTGGAATTATTTCCCTTTATCAGCTGTACATAATTAGGGTAACTAGACTAAACATATTGCAATCCTCTTTTCCTAATTATTGGAGATGTCTTATACAAAATTTCTATGCATATGATAAGACTAGGAGACTCTCTCCTAAGCAAGTTTTTCAGATAAATATTTGTTCCTTGTCTCTGTTTCAAGTATAAAGTCCATAGACCCTTTAGTTTCTGGGATTGGAAAAAGAGCATTTTAAAGATAGGGGAGTCATTTGATATTTTGTGAATCTCTTGCCAGATGGATAATTGCACCAGACAAATGTTCTTAAAAACTAGAGAAAGAACAATTAAAAGAAATCCTGCCAAGAAAGATGAAAGAGAGAAGTATCTTGTTCTTGAAAGTTGAGAGAAAGAAAAAAAAGACTTCCACATTTCATCTTCACTAATAAAGATTATAACTATAGCAGAGAAGCATACATAAGAGAAAACAGTTAAATTTTCACCTCTATATAAAAACGCCCATCTGGAAGTGGCTCACACCTACAACATCAATAAAAAAGAACATTATTTAAAGCAAGTGACATACATTAGATGAAATTTAATATGGTGAAGGGGTTATGTATTTGGGGTTTTTTATTTTCATGTGAAAAGGATGCCAAGCACCTACTCTGTGATTTCCACTTCACAGGCAAATTCAGCTAAGGAACCTGTTGAATCAAGTATAGCCTACAAGATAAATAGACAAGTCATACACGTACAGTAACAGATGGAAATGGTCAGTGCTATATAGCAAAAAAACGGAGGGGAAAGGGATAAGTGAAGTAACCTACCATTCCCATCCGATGATTGCCTTCCATTATTCTTCTTACCTGTATCATTTAAAAAATAAATAAATTAGAGTTATGATGACATTTAGAGTCCCGTAGTGCCATTTATAATTTAGTTAATGGATTATTCCATGGATTGAATATGCAAAATAAATCCCTTTCCACTGACAGCTTCTGTGCAAATTTCAAAAATGATATATACATAGCTCACAGACTATATATAACAAGTTACCAGTCCACTCACTGCTCTCCAAGTATTGCAATCATGCGCTATAAATGTCACCAGAAACATTCAAAATAAATTCTAGAATCCTAACAGGTACTAAAGGTTTGGGTTAAAGTGAAAATTGTTATATCCAGTATTAAAACCATGGTTGATAAGCCTAAACCAATAGGTAAATTAAACAAAGATAGCCTTTTCACTTTAAACCAAACTTCAGGAGGGTTTAGTGTTAAGGAAAAAAAGGTATAGGGAGTAACTTGAGAAAGTGTAAAATAACAAAGGGTTAGCGTAATTTACCCTTGCTTAAACTAGTGAAGAAAACACTAAGTTCCGTTTTTTCTAACCAAGTGCTTCACAGTTGTCAATCCCTAATACAAACTTAATAATTCAAAATATAATTATAGTACTTTTTAGGAAGAAATCGTTTCATGAAGTTTTGATTGTATATGAATAAGAATATTTTAAGTATTTTATCAAAACATGTTAATTTTTTTTTTCCATACATTTTGTTGATAGCAACATTTTTTTGCATATATGATACGTGCCAAATAGTATAAAAAATAAATAAATAAATAAATAAATAAAAAGGAAAAAGAAGAACATTCCATTGAAAATGTCCACCCGATATAGTTAACCACCATTAGACATTTCAATAACCTCGTGATACTATTAACCACTTGTGAGGCATATTCAATCATTAGTGTTGCAAGTACAAATCGATAATTATATTCAATCACATTTATTTACTCTTAATCACTTGTGAGACAAAATTAACCACCTTTAGATATTTCAATAACCTCATGACACTAATGCGACATTCAATCATTAGTGCGACAAGTACAGATTGATAATTGTATATGCACATTCATTTATTATTAACCACTTGCGAGATAAACTAATCACCATTAGACATTCCAATAACCCCATGACACTATTAACCACTTGTAGACATATTTAACCATTAGTGCCATAGGTACAAATTGATAATTATATACAATCACATTCATTTACTCTTAACTCTTAGTAATGCAAAGTCAACCATATCTACACGTGGTTAAAGGGGTGACAGGTGGACACTAGGTGGAGAATTCCCAATGGTATGTTGATCACTACTCAAGAAAAAAATTAGTATATATTTTACAAATAAAACTGATCAAACTTGCACATTCAAAATATATTGAAATTTAAAATTTCCTACTGACTATGAACATTTGTTACCAACTCACCATGAGTCTATACCGAGGTTCAAATATATTGAGTGGAAATCTCTGACACGGTATGACAACATCCATGACAAAAAGAGGGAGTAAATCTACACCAGCATTTATTAAACCGTCATGCTCTTGCTTCCTTTCAGCATATTCCTCAGGAAAATTCTTTTGTATGATGTTCTTCAATGTCACGCTAGAAACAATTGACAACAGATATTAGAGAAGTAACATTAAATGAAATCTGTTAGAACTTTTATTTGACCAAAGTATCCAATGATTAAACTGAATTCCGATGAACACATACTCATAAGCCTAAAAGAATTTGCATGTTATAAATATCAAAGAGTTTTCCCAATAACCAGAAGGGTGTTGGAAACATGCATTTTTGTCCTATTAATTTGGAGCAATACATTGTCTCAATTTGGAGCAAGAAAAGTAGATTAAGAAAGTATCTTCCTATTACCACGTGTTTGGCCATTAGGCTTTCAACCTTTAGAATTAGAACAGTGAATAACTATCCCACTACCAGCTACAACAAGAAACATAAAGTAACCCATAGTTTTCATGTGGTTTCCCAAATTACCTTATGACATTGTAGAGAATATAGACAACTAACCTGATGGAACATGTTCTGGGACTAATAAACAGAACTGTCCTGCACAATGGGCATCTGTTTCCTAACACATTAGGACGAAAATCAACATAGCATAGAATACATAGATTCCATGGAAAATATAATCAACAGCAGATAGCACTAACCACGATCCATTGACTGAAATAGGCATGAACGGCAAAAAGAATGTCCACAAGGGGTTGTAACAGGTTCATACAGTAACTTCAGGCAGAGAGTGCAGTCAAAATCATCATTACGCTCTGGTTGTCCATGTGTACTCATCCCCGGTGAACTAGATGACAGTCTTTCCAAATTTTGAAGAGGAGCCTGAAGTGAACTAGATGACAGTCTTTCCAAATTTTGAAGAGAAGCCCGGAGAGAATTACTATATGATATTAGAAGACAATGAGGGGGGGGGGGGGGAAACTAGTGAGTTTTGATATAGTTCAATAAATGACTGTTGCAAAAGCTCTATATTCAGATATTCCATCTGAATTTATAAAAGGGGTATACATGATAGAAATAAAATAATATATACATACATACATACATATATATATGTGTGTGTGTATGCATATGTATGTATGTATATATATATATATATATATATATATATATAATAGAAAGCAAGATTTGCAAATGTGTAATACCTAAAAGGATCAACTTGAAGGCCTGAAAGAATAACTTCCCGGGCTTTCTCATATTTCTCTAACTGTCAAATTAATACAATATTATATCAAGTTACATTCAATATAAACACCATCAAAATATAAAAGTAGGCCAGACTCCAGAGAGGCAAATGTTTAGACTCAAGAAAAGGATGTCCAATTGACCATGGGCAAACACAAAAGTTGACATGATTTTTTGTATTATAGAAACTCAAAACCCCACAGCAAATACACAATAGATTTCGTTTATAACGTCTGGCTTTACACAAGCATTAAATATTATGCAAGTTTAACTTCCACACCTTCAAACTCACTATGAAGCACAATAATAATGACAGTGTAAATTAAACTTGTCAAGTAGGTAGGGAAATCTGCATAAAATAACCCACATTAACCATTGAAGGTCCAGAACACAACAAAGCACATTAATTACATATATAAAATGTAGAGAGGCTTCTTTAGCATCACAGTCCCACTGTTTATTTGGTTTATTAGAAGAAAAACCAAAATAATTTTAATTACTTTCTGTCTGATAGGCTTCTGAATCTGAAAGAATTAACCACACTGGTAAAAGTTCCTTCTATTTCAAAGTATTCCCTAGAATCACAGGCTATAACTAAAATAATTTGACACTGTCCCTTATTATTCTTTTGAATCACCATAATATTAGTCATGTAGGTATAGACGCAAGGTGGGAGAATTCTCCTCAACTAGCAACATGAGTTAAAACACAAATGCATAGGAAGAAAATAAAAATTAAAGGATAAATACATTTCGTTAAAAAAAATCAAGGGTTACCCCACAAATTAAAAGAGAGATGAACTGATTAAGAGAGCATGAGACACCTACCAGGAGAAGAGCATTGGCCTTTAAAAGATAGGATTTTGCTGAATTACTTTGGAGTTCAACAAGCTTCTCAGCATCCTTCAAACCCAACTGGAAATGGTATTCAATAACCAACTCAGTATGTGCAAATCAATTTAGGAATACTATAATATTTCAGCATGATAAAAATGACGCAAGTGGACATACTTCAGCAAGTGTTGTGGGTTCAAGTCCACTCAATGGCCTACGTTCTGAAGATGATGGTGTTCTGTGCATGAAATATTGGCTAATCCTGATTGGAAAATATCAAAATTGCCATGAGAGCACTGAACTATACAAAACTGAAGCAAAATTATTTGGAAGATGATTAAGAAGATAAGTTTGTAACAAGTAATTCAAAAGAAAATTATTAAACTATGATTAACCTAATATAAGCTGCACTTCGATTGCTGAGGATGATTGGATCACCTGATTTGATGTTATTGGCTCTTGAGTAAAAGTTGATTGCCTGAATAAATAATGACAAAAGGCAAAAATTGGAAATACATTGTATAAGCATCTAATCTAATTGGACAGCAGGTGATCAAATAAGAACAATCAACAGACCCAACCCCCACCAACAAACAAATTAGCACACTAACCTCTTCCATTCTGTTCTCTCTAAATGCCGCATTGCCATTCTGCACAAGCTCTTTAATATAATTAAGTGTGTCCCATGACAAACCTTCTTGCCCATTCTCCTGAAACCCAACCAACCAAAGTTCAGTGTTCACAATTTCACATTTCTACGTTAGATTCTCCAAGAAAACATTAATCTGTTAAAATTATAAACAGATTAACACCATCCGTTTTGAATGTTTAATACATAAGAGGACCGTATCACCGGAATCAAACAAATAAAAGAGGAGCTAGCTAGTAGCTACCCAATGCCCAAACTACTCCAAACAAAGAGAACAAATATCCCCTTTCCTTTTTCTTCTTTTTGGTAATTGATACAAAGTATCCACCTCTAAAACTAATCTTTGTCGAATCCATGAGCGCACATAAGATGAATATTTCCCTCCCAACATATTTTGTTCTATACCCAATGTCAGGATTCAATTCCTGAACAACTTCGTTAAGGGACACAAACCGCTACCACTTGTGCAAACCAAAGTCAGGATTTGATTCCTGAACAACTTGATTAAGAGACACAAGTCACTACCACTTATGTCAACCAAAGTTAGAATTCAATTCCTGAACAACTTGGTTAAGTGACACAAGCCGCTACCCGTTGTGCCAACCAATTTTGGTAAATGTCCCCTTTGCTTATTAGCATCACAAAGGTGTGTTCACAGTCACAGCTATGTCATCACCAGACACCGAGAATATGAGGAATCAATGAATATGTTGCGAAACAAAATTAAAATATTGCGGCAGAAGAAAATCGAACGACAAACAGAGCGCGTTTAGTTGTCCTCGGATTCACCACCTAGGAATTAAGCGCTAAGGGGAAAAAGTGAAATCGAGGCAACAAGAGGAGTTGTCCTTTGGCGTATTATTGGTAGCAACTGGACAGGGAGAGAGGAAAGAGGCAAACGAAAGAAACAAGCCGCGAAGAAAAAAGCCATGCCAGCTAGCTACACAGAGAGAGAGAGAGAGAGCACAGTAACAAGAAAAAAGCAAAACACGAAAAAAAAATCCTCCACTGGGTCGAAATCGAATTGGCAAGAATGAAGAGTGGTGAAAGAAAAGCGGTTGCGCGGAATGAGGGAACTGACCAGAACGTAGTCGTGGACGTGGCGGAGGGCGAGGTCGAGGGAAGAGGGAGAAGAAGGGGAAGCCATTGCGAGAGTGAGGAATGGGAATGGGAATGGGAATGGAAGGGTTATGGTGTTGCTATGATAGGGGCAATAAGGGGCATCGTGTTCCACCCTGGCTCCTTCGTTGCATACACGGACCAAAATCCACTACGTCTATGATGAGAAAGGAGAGTGTTGAAAGTTGAAAGTTGAAAGTGAATGGGGTTGATGTTGTTGTACGTGGAAATATATATGCCCCGTGTTTTTGTGGAGGCAGTGCCAGTGGAGCCACTCCATTTTTTCTTCGCATAGTTTCTATCTATCATTCTCTAATCTCTTTACTTTGACCCACGCCTCTCGAGTCTCCTATGTTATTCCATTTCTCATTTCACTATTTAATAAATAATTTTTTTTTTTTTGTTTGTGTCATTCGAGTACTTATTATTTTTTTAAGAAAAATAATGTTTTTATTAATTTTTGAGATTTTTTTAAGAAATCGTTTTTCTTAATCAAATAAGTCTTTTAAGATTTATTTGGAAAAATAATTAGTTAAATATTTATTAAAATTTTATTACATGTAAAATTATCCTATAATAAGTTTTTTTTTATAGAAATATTTATCGATTTTGTTAATAATTAATTTTTATTAAAAAGGTTTGTTTGAGGACTTTTGATAAAAGAATACTTTTTTTCAAACTAAAAATTATAGTTAAAAGAATGATTAAATTTGTCTAATTTTTTTATAAATGTTAAATTCTCACTTATTCCGTGAGAAAACTATAGAAACATATATATAATAAAGAAAAAAAATATTTTTTAGAAATAACATTTCTATTAATTTTAAATGATGAAATGACCATAAAATAATTAGCATTTTTAACTTTAAATTTTAAAAATAATAATAATAAGAACGTTCCATGCGCCAAATAATTCCTTAGCTTCCCAACCATATTTTAATTCAACAACATTCTTGTTTAAAACAATTTTTCTAGAGACCACTTATATTCTTGGTATGGGACACATTTTTGTGTTGAGTAAGACCATTATAGGTTTCAGTATTTAATGTGATTGTATCCTCTTAACTTAAATTCAAATTATTAATTAAGTTAAGACAATCTCATATTAGTTAATTAAATCGATTTATATAAAAATAAAATATTTATCAATAAAATTGTTATTACAAACATAATTAAGTAAACATATTGAAATTTAAAAGGATAATGTGTTGCAACAAAATTTCATTAAAATAAGATGGACAACCGGAAAATTTCTTTTAGATAAGTTTATTTTGATTAGTTTAACTGTTGAATTTATTAAAATAAACTTATTGTATAAAAAAAATCAAGAATTATTTATGTATACCCACTTAAATTAAATGTGTTTAATTTTTAACTTAAATAATGATATAAATCTTAATTTAAATCTAATAAAACTCTTTCGGATGCCCCAATGGGAATGCATTTGGTATGATATTTGAAAAAATTTATAAATTAGTCTAATCAAAATAAATTTGTTAGGTATGCAAATTTATTTTATAGACTATTAACTTTTTTATTCATCATTTTTATCTTTATTAATTTATTTATTTAAAATATCTTTTATCTTTAAATAACTAAATATACTATTTTATGTTATTTTATATTTATTAACTAATTTATTAATTAATATTATTAAAAAAAATTAATAAATATTTTGACATTTTAACTAGAAGCTTATAATTCATAAATTTCAACCAGCTTGTATGTTAATTTTGGAAACACTCCCTATTTTTTCCGTTCAAAATAATTTTTTCAGTCAACAAAATAACTGTTAATAGTAAAATTGTTGTTTAGCAATATTCAATGGTAATTAAGAGAGTTCTAGGTGAAAATAGTGTATTAATTTATAAGAAAAAATTGTTATTTTTCTTTATATAATTGATTTTAAATGTAGTATCTACAAAATAAAATATATCTATATCTATAAATTTATTTTAATTTTTCCATATAAATAATATTTTTAGACTTACTTTTAAAATATCATAAAAATATAAATTAAATATGAAATCAAACTTCTTTTTTTTTCTTTTATATTAGTGCTTAAAATTAATCAGACTTATTGAAAAGTAAGTAAAATACAATTAAAAATTAAACTAAAACACTGTCCAAATAATTTAACTTTAAATTAAATTAATTAATTACTTGTATCTTATTCCTTATTTAAATAAATCAAATTTAAAATTATACAAATGAATAAGAATTTGTTAAACCTTTTATGACACTAGCCTTTTTTTCTGCTAGTGGGGCAGGGAGTGAGCGTTTGCGCCACGCAATACTGCCAAATTCATACGAAGATTTATATGTATTTCAGACTAATTTATTTTGAAATGCAATGTTTTAAATAATAAATAATATTTTTCCTAAAATTAATCCAAACATATAATTATTTTTTTTCTAACATAAATGAGATTGACAAGTTCAAGGAAAGGGAATGGCTTAATTTTCAGTGGACCATAATTAAGAGGAAAAAAAATTAATCGATTATACATAGTGGGTGAGAAGGATACAGCGCAAGCCGTCGACGACGTCGTTTATACATTTTGACTTTTGAAACGGCAACCGTCGAAGATGAGAGAAGCACTCGGCGACAAAGATGAAACGACAACGTTTACCAGAGGCAAAAGACGATTTCAAAATCATAAGAAAGACCCTCTTGCTAGTGTTCTTGTTCTTGTGAAAGCTAGCACTCTCCAATCTCACTATTATCCATATATGATAAATTGTTGTGATTACTCAAAAGGCTGAAAGTAGAAAAACCAATGATGGGACCATGTGGCTCTTATGCTTTGTGGACGAAAATGTGTGCACATATTATCCATTTTGATTTGTGCTAATTGGACCATATTCATTTCATGTTGTCGACATTTTTTCCAAAGTTTGGTTGTGTATGGTGGATGGATTGGACATGCTTGTGCAAGAGGAGATGTCATTAATTACTATGGCTACCATTATCCACAACTTGATAAGAGCATTGATGATGATGTGAGTCAAGTAGAAAAATGAATAAGTGGTGGCTTGAATCGATTCGTCGAATTAATTGATGGAAATGTAATCAGTTTAAGCTTTTAAACATAGATAATCTAGTCGATTTTATTGATAAACATGGCCAAGTTGTGTGCTTGATGGACAAACATAAGTACTGTAGTCCAATTACTTCAACTAGATATTGCTGAAAAATTATTTTATAATTTAAATTTTAAATTATATGTTTTTATTTGATTAATTTCTATTTTGATATTTTTAATTAGTTTTATTAACGTTTCTTAATGATTAAGCCCGTTATAGCTTACTAGTATGGTCTAGGCATTTCGTGCTTCTATTAAAGGTAAAATAAAATAAATATTAAGTAATAAATATAAGTTAATCTAATGTTATAATTAGTCAATTAATTTTAAGATCTTGATTTTGAGAAAAATATTTTTTTAAATTTTTTTAAAATGAAAGGGTATAATGGTCAACAAGATGTGGTGACCAAGGTGGTTACTAAAAGAAGTATCCCCTTTATATATTAGTATAGATTAGTGTTTGACCATGTCTTTATAGTGTTGAACGATATTTTTTGGTCATTTGTTACATGTTTTATGTTTCTTTTTGGACGTTGATAACATTTATAATGTTCAGATCACATGAGTATTGTGGTAATATATAAATACTCACTTTGGAGAAAAATATACCACAGCGAAATATTAGAGTTTTTTATTCAAATAATACTATTTTAAAAAAAATTTTACCCAAATAGCAACTTTGCAAATTTATTTCCCCAACTAACATCATTTATTGTTCACGTTCAGAACGGACCGTTCTGAAACCAGAACGGGCCATTCCAGATTAAAAAATAACACATGATGAATGGATCAGAACGGGTCGTTCCAGATTCAAAATTAGCACATAAAAAGTGGAACCAGAACGGGTCGTTCTGAATCCAGAACGGGCCATTGTGGCCTATAAATAAAAAATTTTTGTTCGACTTTCACTTATCAAATATCAAAACTCAGAAACTAACATCAAATAATTAAATTTATTGAATATTAACATTATAAATATAACTAAATAAATTTATTAAAATTCAATACAACAATAAAGATCAATTGTGGCTGAAATTGAATTCATGACCAATATTTGGATATGTCTTCCTAGTGTGACCCAGGATGTGACAATAGGAACAATTTTTTACACGATTATGTTGTTCTCTAATGTCCATCTCTGTTCTAATCTTGCTGGACTTTGGCCGACCCATAAAAGTTCTCTTGAATTCTGGATTTGACCACAAAGTTGGAAGAAACGCAACATTCGAGAGAAGTTTGACTTGCTGGGAGATTTACAGTAAATGAAATGTGGTATGATTGGGGCAAGTTCCAAAAAGTTCATATCTCTTGCTCGCATGACCCGCTGAGAGATTTACAGTAAGGCTAAATGTAAATCTCCCAGCGGGTCATGCGAGCAAAGGATATGAACTTTCTGGAACTTGCCACAATCATACCACATTTCATTTACTGTAAATCTCCCAGCAAGTCAAACTTCTCTCGAATGTTGCGTTTCTTCCAACTTTGTGGTCAAATCCAGAACTCAAGAGAACTTTTATGGGTTGGCCAAAGTCCAGCAAGATTAGAACAGAGATGGACATTAGAGAACAACATAATCGTGTAAAAAATTGTTCCTATTGTCACATCCCTGGTCACACTAGGAAGACATATCCAAATATTGGTCATGAATTCAGTTTCCGCCACCATTGATTTTTTTATTGTAATGAATTTTAATAAATTTATTTAGTTATATTTATAATGTTAATATTCAATAAATTTAATCACTTGATGGTAATCTCTGAGTTTTGGTATTTGATAAGTGAAAATCGAAAAAAAAAAATGGTCTGAATCTGTAGGCCAGAACGACCCGTTCCAGATTCAGAACGGCTCGTTCTGGT